TATATAATGTGTGAAAGCATTAAAACTAGTAAGAATATGGTTTAATGATTTAAAGGAATTTATCTTTTAATAATTAATAATGTGTTAGTCTTTAGATTCATTTTATTTTGTAACACACTGGGACCAGGGGAGGGCATATTCTAACATTAATCCTACAACACGTGGTCTTACTTCTCATTCAAGTTCTCAGAGGAAACATCAAAACAAGATGCTTCTCTCTAATCTTCATAGCAGGGAGAACTAGGTATTTAGGAAAATAACCATCACTCTAGATCCAAAGTCGAAAGAGGTGCTGATAAGCATGGAAGGCACGGGGAGGTAATGGATGTGCAAAGGAACAGGGAAAAGAGGCTGATGAGAAGCACCGAGCAAGCCAGATAACAATAGTTACCGGAGTAGTGACCACCTGGCAGGCACTTCAGTGTTATTCTAAGAAATGCATTTTTTTTTCTTGTATTATCTAGGGAATGACTTATTGATGCCTTTCAGTGAAACTGCAGTATAGTATTCCAAGTTTAATAAAACATATTTATGCTAGAAACTAAACTGAAATTTTAAATTATAAAATTAAACCTATTAAATTTGATCTGCTGGTGAGAGCTTATATTTCACAGAGAAGTAATTTTATTCATTTGAGTAATTACGTTGCTGAGTTAGGGCTTGTATTCTTTTTGCTAGAAGCCTTTGAAGTGATTATTCCCTGCTGCTAAATTCCACTAAAAGCCTTAATATTGATGCTGTGACATAGTAAGTAAAACTTGTGCCAGTAGTGCCAGCATCCCTTGCGAATGCTGGTTCAAGTCCTGTCTGCTCCATTTCCCATACAGTTTCCTGTTAATGACTTGGGAAGGCAGCAGAGAATGGCCTAAGGCCTTCAGCCCCTGCACCCACATGGGAGACCCAGATGAGGCTCCTACCTTCCGCGTAGGTCCGGCGTGGCCGTTGCTGCCGTTTGGGGAGTGAACCTGTGGGTGAAAGGTTATTTCTCTCTTTGTCTGCCTTTACCTCTTCTTCTCTATGACTCTGCCCTTAAAATCTTTTAAAAAACATTAAGGAGAAAACAATAGTCTTCATCTTGACTAAAGGAAATTAATTAAAATGGCCTTAATAATTTTTTTAGAACTGTCTTGTCATACACACATACATACACACCACACACTCTCTACACTTACCGTATGTGCCCTTAAAAGAAATGTAATATTTATTATCCCATGATGGAGATAATTAAAATGATCTCTGGGCCAAATTATCTGTGTTTAAATATTGGCTCTCTTACTAAGCACTTAATGAAGTTCCTCATGGGAAAAATGGGCATAAACATAGTGCATAGTTCCTAGGTGTTAAGATTAAATAAATTTGTACAGATTGTGTTCTTAGAACATTGTCTGTTGACCAGTGAAAGATTCCATTATTGCATATATTCTTGGTGTTAAATGCTGACGTCATATAGTCATTAACCCTTTGTCTTTTTGCTGGTAACATGAAGCTAGATCTATATGTGACTTATTTTTCATTTCTATTGCATCTCAAACATCTAGCTCTGTGCTTGACACACAGTTATTAAATAGTTTTGAAAGAATAAATATATCTGTTTTCTGCTAATAACATAAAGAGAAAAAAAGTATGTCTTCTGTTTTCTGATAGTAACTTACCATGAAGAAAAATGTATATGATGTCCTCTCTTTTTCTTATTTTCTTTAAAATATAAACCTCTTATTGAATAAAGAAAAATACAGGGATAGGTTTTATATGGAAAATACATGGGTACCTTTCTGCTAGCAAAATTTTGTAAAGTAGCATGCAGCAGAGCCGATTGTTCTGTTGGGTGTAGAGGGAATAATTATTGGAGTTATTCAGATGATACTCTAAGTGTTACATTGACTTGTGTTCTGACAGCATGGATGTTGAGCTTGCATCTTCATTTCTTTTCTGATTGAAATTGACATGTGCTTATTTCTCTAGGGAATCCAACAAGGTGTAATTGAGGGAGAGTTTGCCCTTTGTATAAGTTTATATCATGGCTATGAATTACTGCAGCAAATGGGAATGAGATCGTTATATTTCTTCTTTTGTGGAATTATGGATGGAAGTAAAGGTAAGCTCTGTAAGAGTATTTAAGTTAAAATAGACATTTTGGTTAAAGACGGGCTAAAAAATTCAACTACTTAAAAAAGTGTGTATCAAATGGCCATGTTTCTTTGCTTTTGAGTAACTAGAAGGAAGAAAATTATTAAAATGTATTTGAATGTGCAGCTGGAAAAAGTTGCTGCATTTTATGTTTAACTTTGGAGTCTGCCTTTATTGCTACAATTTAAGTGATTTTTTTAACTGGTTCCCAGTTTTACTATTTTGCTGTTATTTATTTGGGACACTTTCTTAATTTCTAAAGGAATGACCCGAGCAAAAAATGAACTTAGTCGAAATGAAGACTTCATGAAACTCTACAGTCATCTAGAGAACAAGTTTGCACATACACGTAGTACTTCAGCAGGTGGCAATTCTGCTATACCAAAAGGTGTGATTTTTCATTTGAATTTATGTATTGTTTATCACAAACTTTTATTGTACGAAGTTAAGATTAATATACATTCAGCTTTAAAGATTGCAAGTTTATAAACTTTTTAATATATGGTAATAGTTTTTACTAGCAGTGGAAATTCTCAGAACACTGAAACAACACTGATCTCTCATTTCAATATGCATTATTTCCCTTTTGCTTTGTTACTGCTTCCTGTTTACATTCTTTCTCACGAGGACATTTTCATCACAGTGCTGTGGCATAATATGCTGAGCCTCCACCTATGGTGCTGGCGTCAGTTCCAGCTGTTCCACTTTGGGTCCAATCCCCACTTAAGACCTGGGAAGGTGCCAGGAAATGGCTCGAGTACATGGGCCTCTGCAGCCACATGGTAGACCCTGAGCAAGCTCCTGGTTCCTGGCTTCTGATCAGCTCAGCTCCTGACCCTAGCAGCCGTGTAAGGAGTGAACCAGCAATGGAAGACCTGTCTCTGTCCCTCCTCCTCTCTGTAGCTCTGCCTTTCAAATAAATAGAAACCTTCAGAAATTATTAAAATAATCAATTATGGAAATTACAGATTTTTTTTTTTTGCAGGAGCTATGGATAAAAGTTTTTTCTATGGCCATCCAAAATTAAAGAAATTAGAAGAAGTTGTGGTCAAACACTTCACATCATGGAATGGTAGGTCACATTTAGTAACATTAAGTGTAGATAATTGTTGAACGAGTTAAAACTTCAGCTCATTAGTTCGTGCTAGCACTTCTGATGGTGAAGATGAGCTTTTAATTAGTCTTAGATGGTGAATGATAGAAACTGAGAAGAAAATGTGAAGGGAAGAGAAAATATGGAAATATTAAGAATAGGATAGGGCCTGGCGCAGGGGGCTACTGGCTGAAGTCCTGACCTTACACACACCAGGATCTCATATGGGCACCAGTTTGTATCCCAGCTGATCCACATCCAGCTCCCTTCTTGTGGCCTGGAAGAGCAATAGAGGACGGCCCACAGCCTTGGGACCCTGCACCCATGTGAGAGACCTGAAAGAAGCTCCAGGCTCCTGGGTTCAGATCAGCTCAGGTCTGGCCATTGCGGCCAATAGGGGAATGAACAAGTGGATGGAAGACTTTTGTCTGTCTCCTGTATATCTGCATTTCCAACAGCTGTGGCTATCTTCAGACAACTTGAAAATGCACTTGGTTTGGGGACAGAATGCCTGACATGGGTTAAGATAGTGCTTTCAGTGAGCAGAAAGGAAAGAAGGAAAGGGCACATTTGTGAAGGTCAGCCAGGCTCCCAGGTCTGAGCTTCTAACTGTCTTAGAACAGGCCTTCATGCCTTAATGAAGGAACTGATCCAACATGACGTCACTAAAGAGAATTTATTTAGGATTTTATTTTATACAGCTAATGAGAAACGGGGAACTACAATCATTAATTACAAAAGTATTCAAAATTGCGTTTGAACATCTTAGATTATCATTGAAAAAGCAGTTGTTCATTGCTGCGTAATGTCAGGCTTGTCTTTTGAACCACTTCCCGTCTGAATGCTTTTTGAAAATTGTAATTCATGCATTTTCTGTTGTGTAGCTCAAAACACGTCTGAAAAGAAATGTGAGGAGACCAGAGTCATGATCTTCTCCTCATTTCGAGACAGCGTTCAAGAAATTGCAGAAATGCTCTCACAGCATCGTCCGGTTATTAGAGTAATGACGTTTGTCGGTCATGCCTCGGGGAAAAGCACCAAGGGTTTCACCCAAAAGGAACAACTGGAGGTAATGTGGTTTTTTTTGGAGGTGATGAAAATTTTAAAAAGGAAGACACTGACTTGTTTTGTATGTATGTTCTTTTTTTCTTACCCCGCTGGCTACTTGAGAAACCTTGATCACTTACAGATAATTTTGCAGCAACTATGCAATAAAGATAGACGGATTTTGAAAGGGCATCAAAATGTTTTACCTATTTTTTTCAAAGTTTTTTTTTTTAAAGTTTGGTAGAAGACTTTAGCAGAAGGGAAGTCGTGTTTCCCAGGTTGGAATACTGGCTCTACCTGCTACGACTTTCTGTCCCTCCTGTCCCCAAGTTTTCCTTGTCTAGGGACATATTCCAAAAGGTTTTCAAAACGTTAAATGAGATCTTACTGTAGAGATACTAGTGTTAGCTATTTGTCACTTTAATTTATTCTAAAATAACAGCTAGCTGATCTGATTTTTTTTCTATAAAATACCTTCCAAGAATACTCAAAGGTAACTATGGTAATATTTAAGGAAACCCCCTGTTCTGAATAGAAGATGTAAGTTTTCTGTGTGCTATGCTGTTTTGAGGACTATTAATACTTATAAACTCTGTACAGGTTTTTGCCGGCTAGCTGTATACACCTTCCCTGGAGTAGTCACCAACAATAAGGTGTATCTTTCCTGTCTCATTTGTTCTGACAAGCCCTTTCTTGATTCTTGACATTAGCAGACGAAGTGCAGTCTAAACACCTTTGATACCAGGTGCGCTATGTGCAGAGCAGTCTGCTGCCGCTGACTGAGTGCAGTGGGGAAAGACTTTCAGAGTCAGGAAGTGAGACTTTGGTCAAGTCAGATTACAGTGCTTCAATGCACTAGGGCATCCAGTGGGTGACCTCTACTATGGGTCATGTTTAACTATGAATGCAAAATGACCTTGAAGGAGAGCTATTTTTATTACTTGAAGTACCCACAGAACCTATTTGGTCTGGCAATTTTAAGATTATCTGATCAGAGGAAAAATTGGAGATGGCATTATGAAACGTAAGAGAATGAATTCTAGGTGTAATAAAGCATTCTTATTTTTGATTATGCATTACTTTATGATTGATTCTTAGCTATAATAAATAAGAGTAAAATACTGCAAGTTACTTACTGTCTGCATGCCTTTTCAATGATGCTAATATAAAAATCTGAAATTAAGGTTGCCCTTTCCATTTTGTCATGCTCTATTTTCGGTTGATGTTACCACTTTGTGACTTTTTTCTATTCTGTGGTGTCTTCATACTGATTTTTAATGTAAATTCACTATTTTAGTCAGGGTAGGAAAATATGCTTTGATTCACAATTCTTTTACACTTGTATGTAATTATTTTATTTTTATTTTTATGATGCAGTTCCATAGGTTCAGTGATTTCTCCTTTTACCCTCCCTTTTTCGCCTACTGCCATTGATTTCCTAAAATTATTACAATAGCATAGTCCTTCAACAATTGTCACAAGTTCATCACTCTGCTATTGAAGTGTGTCATGACATTGTGGGTATATTGTTTCTATTTTAGGTAGTGAAACAGTTTCGTGATGGTGGTTACAACACATTGGTTTCTACCTGTGTTGGGGAAGAAGGTTTGGATATTGGAGAAGTTGATCTGATAATATGTTTTGATGCCCAGAAGAGTCCAATTCGTCTTGTGCAAAGAATGGGCAGAACTGGCCGCAAACGCCAGGGCAGGATTGTGGTCATCCTCGCTGAAGGCCGAGAAGAACGAGTAAGTAGACTTATCAAAATATAATTTGACACTTAAAATTTGAGAAATACAGCACAAAAACGAATGTCAGTATTATAGCAATTAAAATTCAAATACTTTGTAGATAAAAGTGGTTTATTCACCCTCTCCATCTATTACATTATTTTTTGTTTGATTTTTAAAGAATTTTTTTTATTATATTTTTGACAATCTTTACATGGTTAATTGGGGTAAAAGGGGCTATAGGAAAGTGGGTAAGACTATTATTTCCATATTGTTTCCTTCAGGTTTCAAGGGAGTATTAAGGGAGAAGGCCCACCCAATTTCCCACCCTGCCCAGGTCCTGGTTGTAGGGTATGCTCTGAGATTCTTGCTCAAGTGGTTTTGATAGTTCACCAATTAGGAATCGCTGCCAATCTTGTCACTCCAAGCACTATGAGGTCTTTGAAGAATCCACTGATTGACATAGTCCATCATAGAGTCTCCGTTTGCCCCGTATTTCGCTGCCAACATATAGCTGAGATGGTTGATTGATGTATTCTGTCTTCTGTCTTTTCTTGGTTTGGGTTCTGAGTCCAGCATTTCGATGGGGAGAACCCCAAAGAAACTTTGTCTGAGGTGTTCTCAGACCAGATTCTTGTATGTGCTAGCAAGAACAGGGCCCGGTACAGTCTATTGCCCTGATCAGCTGGTGGTTGCAGTTGTTGGGTTGGTTCTGTTTTCACTCCCGACTTCCACTGGAACCAATGGGTGTTGCATTCCAGTCTGGTTCTGCTCAGCACATACTTGGCCCTCGCATAAACAAGTGTGAGCTGCAGCCTAGTCAGAATGACCCACAATAACCCCCACCATGCCCGCCCCCTACCTTGGTTTGCCAGTATGTGGAGCAGTAGTCCAGTCTGTCCCACACCCCATTCCACCCCAGCCCCTGTCCTGGTTTTCGTCCCTCCCGTGGAAGTGGTAACCCAAGAGGGAGGAGCTAATTATTTCCCTCCCAGGCCTCATGGCCTCTCCCACTCCCAGATTATGCTCTCTCCAGGTAGTTCTGTGGTTTGACTTGACAGAACTAGGCCCCAGTGCCAGCTTCTGCCAGCTGATGCTGTTGCTAAGCCCAACAACCCTCACCCACTCTAATTTTGTTTGCACCAGTAGGAATAATCAGCCCAGCCCGGCCTTTCCCCGATCTAGTCCACTTGAGTCGTACAGGTGTTGTAGCCCTGTTTAGTCTGGTCTGCATCCCTCCCAGCTCACACTCTCCAGTGGGAGTAGCTGTCCAGCAAAGGAACCACCCTTTATTCCCCTGCCGGCCCGGCCCCCCACCCCCTTTCTGGGTGCTGTGGTCACATCCGGTACAGGCAACCTCATCTTCGCATTCCATATTGTGCACTAGTTTTTGTTGTGCCCGAACCTGGCTTGACCCACACTGTTCTGGTGCTTGGATTTGCCAGTAAATGACGTGAACAGATTCTGCCTGGTCACCCTGCCCATGCCAAATATATGCCAGTGAGAAACTTTCCATGGCCTGTTCTGGGCTGTTTCCTATCATGTTTCTTGTGCTTACCTGCCGGGTCTGTGTCCTGCCAGAGGAGTTACCCAGGCTCCTCCATCAGAACCTCTCCCAATGCCAGGTTTCACGCTTACCAGGGGGTCCATGAGCCAGCCCTACTCAGTTCACCTCCTGTCCTAGCAGGAACAGTAGCTTTTCCTGACTGTTCTTCAACCCAAACTGGTCCTTCTGTTGGATGTTTCAGCCCAGCCATGGCTCGTCCATACCCACATATGGCTCACACATGGCTCAGCATCTACCCTGGTCCTCCAGGACACCAGAGGGTGTTGGAGTTTGGCCTGGCTTGGTGCATCCAATCCCAGTCCACACTTGTGCCAAGGGAGACTACAACTGTTTCCCGTTCAGAATGCAGCCCCCATTCCAGGCCATGCGCCCTTGGTGGGAACCTCAACCCGGCTAGAGTTGTCCCCTTAGCTCCCCAGCAGTGGGGAGGCTACTGGTAGGTTAAACTCCCAGGCCCAAGATCCTGCCCCTCCCTAGTCGCATTCACTGCCCAATGAGGGTGGCGGGTGGGTCCCAGACCTGCCCAGTCACAGAGACCTCCCCCCTCGGTGTACTCACCCTGAAGGGAGCAGCCCCTGGAGCCCAGGCAGTCCCGGGGACAGCTCACCACGTGCACATGGTGACTGGCATCTGGGATCCAGGCATGAGACGCCCCATCCTGAGACCCACCTATTACATTCTTTATATTTTAATTTTCATGTCTATTTGGAAAAGGGAAAGAGATCTGTGGTTCATTCCCCGTTTTCCAATAGCCAAAATGGGCCAAGGCAAAGCCCGCAACTGGGAACTCATCTCAGTTTCTCAAGTGAGTGGTCGGTACCCAGCAACCTGAGGCTTTACCTTCGGCCCCTGCATGTTAGCAGGAAGCTGGAACTGGAAGCAGAGCTAAGTCTTGACCCCCGCCCTCCCCAAGATACATCATGATCACTAAACTAGACTTTTATTATAATAGATTCTGAAATAATTTTCATCAAGGATTGTTCCAACATCTTATTAATTTGTTTTAAAGTTCAAGATAACAGATGTCCTCCCAGTGGTATTTAAGTAGATCTTGAGTAAATTTTATGTCTCCAGTAATGTAAAATAATATATAATAATTGCTTTGTTTTTGCAGACTTATAATCAGAGTCAGTCCAACAAAAGAAGTATTTATAAAGCTATTTCAGGTAATAGACAGGTTCTACACTTTTACCAAAAAAGTCCACGAATGGTTCCTGATGGAATCAACCCAGAGTTACACAAAATGTTCATCACACATGATGACTATGAATCAGAGAGACCTTCTCGGACCATGCAACGAAAGTCATCTGTGTTTTCCAAAAAGGATGGTATGTAAAATATTTTGCATTTGATACATGCATTTCCCCCCTTATATTTGGTTTGCGGGTCTTTTTTGTTTGTTTTTAATTGCAAAGAAAGATGTACAGAGAAGAGACAGAAAGATCTTCAGTCTCCTGGTTCACTCCCCAAATGGTTGCAATGGCTGAATCTAAGCCAACCCAAGGCCAGGATGCAGGAGCTTCTTCTGGGTCTCCCAAGCAGCTGCAGGATCCCAAGGTTTTTGACTGTTCTCTGCTGTTCTCCTAGGACATAAGAAGGAAGCTGGATGGGAAGTGAAGCAACTGGGATAGGAAGGGGCCCCCGTATGGGTAACCAGTGCTTTTAGGCAGGGGATAAGTGAGTCAAGCAATTGTGCCAGCCCCTAAAGGTCTATTTTAAGGTAACCTCATTAAAAAACTCATGTACATTCTAGAATGCTGTGGATTCTCTTTTGGTAAAGGGTAAAAAATTATTTTTGTGGCAAACTGGGAACATACTGGCAGGGCAAAACTGTGATTAAAATCCAGCGTTAGGGGCTTGGCACCTTAGGCTAAGCTTTTGCCTGTGGCAAGGGTACTTGCATGTTGGTCCACTTTTGATCCAGCTCCGTGGGTATGACCTGGGAGAGCAGTGGGACATGACCCAAAGCCTTGCAACTCTGCATCCACGTGGGAGACCCAGAAGAAGCTCCTGGCTCCTGGCTTTTTCAGCCATCTCTGGCTATTTCAGCCATTTGGTGAATAAAGCAGTGGATAAAAGATCTCTCTATTTCTGCTTCTCTCTGTAACTCTGGCTTTCAAATAAAAGTAAGTCTTAAACAAACAAAACACCTCCAATTCATCAGTGTTAGGAAACTGATGATATCCTTCCTACCGACCCATAGAACTCTCTTCACAAAGTATAGAGAAGAAATGGTTTTTTGTTATTGAACAAGAATTAAACTAGACTGCAGTATGCACCAGACAATCTACTATTTCAAAGGCAAGAAGAAATACCTGATTGTCTATATATTCAAACAGTTCTATCACTATCAATATGTGTTCTTGACAGTAACCGTAATTCGTCTATTTGCTTCATGTTTTTTTCATGTCCATTTCTTTAGAAAACTGTTTCTGGCTTGC